AAAAAAWWAAARRRRAAAAAATGACAAGTAATAAATATTAAAAATGTATAGAATAAATATAAAAATGACTTATCAATAGTTATATTAAAATGTTATATTAAAGTTAAAGACCTGGTTAATTAATTAACCTAACCTGTATCATTCCTTACTCTTATAAGTGCTGGAGAATGATACCAGATCCAAATATTACCTTTTTCCAAGTGTTTGGAGAGATCTCAAGATCGTGTATTCGAGAATTTAGTCAAATACATCGTACAATATAATTGCATGTAAAATATGCATACAATTAAATAATCGTCATTAATATAAAAAAAGTATTATATTAAATGCCTTTCCTGTTTCGCAGTTGCCTACGGTCTATGCTGTAGCAGTATTAAGAGACACAAAAAGTAATTATTAATCAATATACTCGAATCCAAATAATTAAATACACAGATTATTGCTCACCATAGAGACATAGAGAGTCCAGTTGTCGCTCGTAGCCCTAACAACATCATATAGTTCCATTTATGTTTCTGAAATATGACATTGAAACAAAATGTTTTATTGCAAAATACCTAACATTTAATAACAATTACGTAACTGAAACATTTCATATTAGTTCCTATATGTCTGCTTATTGATTACAAAYATTTTAATAACATTTCGATATTTCTGATATTACGTACCCGCATTTTTTTAAATTTGTTTTTACAAGTTGTATTCCCATGAAATTTACTATTACATATTTTTCAACCCCACGGCAGGCACAACGCTTATTATTACAACCAGTCTTGCAATGGCAACATTGGAACCCTTGAGGGCAGTCTGTATATCGATAGCCATTTTAAATAAGTGGTAAATACGATGACAGTTGTAMACATACTAAGATAATAATCTATATAAATTTTCGATAGGTATGATATTTTCAAATGTAACCTCCACGGCTCCACCGATGTTATRATATATTGTATAGTAATTGTATACTCAATACTGTATAGGTTCAGTGTCTACCTTATCTGTGGCCGATAAAGTTTTATTGATCTACCCAATTAGTACCACAATTATTTTAGCAATCACTTTATCATTGCTCGTTGGCCATTATTTTATAATMAAATCAACATATTTTCCCAAATCATACGGTTATTAACGTTATTCACTAGAAAATAACAATAATTCAAACATTCGTTGGTAAATAACGTAAATAACCGGCGAATAACGTTAATTTCCGATATAACATCATTTACCGTAACATAAATATAAA